AAATGTGAGATAAAAACACATTTGCTGAAACAAGCATGCCATTTTAGCTTGCTAACTGCAAGTGCAGTGCTTTACCAGGTGCGCTACCGAGCAAGTTTACTGCGTCAGAAATGCCACACATATGGAGCTGATTATGTGATGCAAATGACAAAATGTATTAGTTTACAAATAATGCACTATGGTAAAAGTATTCTGTATTCATAACAGAGTATTGTGCAAGACAACATGCAAAAATAAGCATTTATTCATCAATAATCTGCCCCGTAAACATAATTTGTGTGAAAAGGAACAAAAGTTGTTGGCGTTTACTGCCTCTAGTGTTAATTTCATCTGGAAACCGCAGTCAAATGCAGTTACCAACTCTAGAAGTTGGAGCTTAAGATAAATACAATCACAAACTTGGACGAACAAGTCAACATAGAAAGTAAACTGTCATTTCATGAGGTCTTTAAATACTTTGAGTCTGTTTAGGGATGTTCTTTAGCATTGCGTTTACTGTATGCCTCCCTAATTTTACACCTCAGTGTTTGTAAAATGTATATTAGTGTAATTTCCAGTATATAGACATATATCTATAGAATATTTGCTCTGTTTCTTATTTGATTTTGAACAATCATGGCACCGGTTGTAATAACTACCTTTGAGGATATGAAAGTGTAGGTCTCAATGAGATTAGCTGAATTAATACTCATCACAAATGCTCCTTTATCAGCACCAGCTGTGATTTTTGACTTTTATTTGAGCCAAACAAATCAACATTGATATGACCTGCTTTTTTCAGTGTCTGCTGTATTCATTTTTTGCCTTAAACCTATTTGTGAATGTCGTGGGTTGAATTCTTATACCATTGTACCAAGTGTTATGGATATAGCATTTGATTCAAATTACATATCAAATATGTGTGTCTTTTAATTTTGTGCATATGCAGTTCGGTTCTCTTAATTTTGAGTTGAAATGGGTTTTGAGGGTTCAGGATTATGTGTATGTGTGTGTGTATATGGTGAAAAATTGTAAGACAGAATTTTACTGTAAAAAAATTTACATTAAATGTGTTATATTTACAGTTTTTGGAAGTGAAAAAGAACAAGCCATCTTTTAATTTACAGTAGAAAAAACTGCAAACTGACATTCCCAGAATTCCCTGTGTGACAGCTCACATTTAATGTTTTTTTCATTTAAATTACTGTTTCTTAATTATTTGTTATCAGCTATGCGCATTCGGGTTTTGTGTTACGTCTTGTTACATAAATGAATGTTCATTGCATTATTTATTTTTGTGTTTTGATGGTGTTTTGTTTGTTAGGGTTAGGCTTCTATATATTAGTTTTTACCTCAGCTTTTGGAAAAGCTACTCGTGATGAGTTTTGATTAATCGTGTGTTTTTCTCTTTGCAACCTGTGTTTTTAAGGTGATTGTCAGTATATTATAAAGGTAAAAAAAATGATTTTAATATCATTGTAGCCTTGATAATTCAGCAGAAAATTTTACTTTTTTTGTAATTTACAATATTAAACTGTGAAATGTACAGTTTGTGTAAATATGTTTACACAGCTGCCAGTTGTTTTTTTCTGATATGACAGGATATTTTTACAGTATGGCATTGTAAAACTTACACTACAAAGTTGCTCATAATATGTGCTAATTCTGCTGTGTCTCACACCGGACTGTTTTAGGTTTTTTGGGAATTGTTTCTTCTGAAATTATCTTCTCTAGCCTCAACATTCTTTGTGTGCTTACAAACTCCAAACACGGTGGGCTACGACTGATTCACACTCCATGCCGTTCAAGGATATTATAAATGCTGACAGCTCTCACTGCGAGGCCTTGGAGGAGCAGATCCTAACAAGTGACCATGGAGCTGGACTCTTGGCAGAGAAGTTGTTAAGAAAGAGTTCAAAGCCGGAACACATTAGTGTCAGAGAACTTTTCAAATAAATCATTCACAGAAATTTACTTGACAACATGCAGTGCATAAAACCTTGAAAAGAGAAACACCTAAAAATGTTTTTCACGAGTCTTTAATCTAACAGCCTTTCCATACAATGACGGTTCAGAGCGACCGCTTCCATCAGGCTCCAAAAACACCATTAAAATATCATATGACTAGTTCCATGTCTTCCTATGTTATATGATAGCTCTGTGTCATGACTATGTTTCTACACACACTGAAGTACACCTTTTCAAAAATTGTAATAATGTCAAATGAAAGGTTTTACTATAAAGTACATTTTAAAACCTTTTCGTTTTATTAATCTTTTGTCATGTTTTAAAGAATACACTTATTTTGATGTGTTGACTAACATACTAAAGCACATGAAGTACTTGATTATAATTTTAACTGTGTTATTCAATATTATATTTAATGTTAATATACATTAAATGCACTAAATTACAACTTCATCTTTACAAGTGTGTCATTGTAAATATATTTAAATACATACAAGTTTCAATAGAAATAAAATTAAAGTATATTTTAGTTTATCATAAATGCTTGTCAGTACATTCAGCAATAGCACTTAAGCATATCAATAAAGAATAGAAGTAATTATGAAATTACATATAAAGATGTACTTAAATCCTACTTAAGTGGGTCAAGAATAACACTTAAGTTCAGCTATTTTAATATAAAATTAAGCTATATTTAATTTATATTTAATTGTAAATAACATGCAATTAAGTGTCTAAAAACATGCATTCAGTTCACATTAGGTATATTCTTTTAAAGTATAGTATTTTTGCAACAAGTGCTCTTTCTAAAAGCATGTACTTTTTCATAAGGGGTGTTTTTTTCCACTTTGAAGCTTGATAGACATGGTTACTATGATCTGTTGTATTAAAAGGTTTGCTTTAAGAGTTGACAGAAAGTCATGTGTGTTTGGGACGACATGAGGGGAGTAAACGATGAGCTTCATACTGAGTGAACTATTCCTTTAAGCTAAACTTTTCTTTGGTCATTGTTGAACAAAAAGGGTTGAACCCTGCCTCTTGAAATCACACGCCTCTCTCTGCAGTCTCCTCATGGAGAAGATCGACGCTTCCTCCTGTGAGCTGCTGTACTCCTCCTCTCTCTCAAAGTCTCCAGTCATCCAGAGCGCTGACTGTCAACATCTTATACCCTGAAGAACATACCAGGTGAGTAAACAAGCATGATGAAAACTGATGGGAGGATTTCAGCTTCCATATGCAAGTCTGATAAGTTTTACATTAGTGTTGCTAGAAAATTCTGAGAAAATCTCTGGCACTTTACCGGATACTTTGTACAGAGAAACAATGTGCTAAGTTACGTCATTATGTTTATTCAGTTACTATTATTCAGACAAACCTAGCGAACATCATTTACAAAATATGTATGACGTTGCTAAAAAGAACATTATGTTGTGTATTTGGTGTAATGCAATGTGTTTATGCGGTTTAAGGTTAAAAAAACACATTATTTTCCACATACTGTACATTATTGTTGCTCCTCAAACATAAAATCATGTCTGCATTTGTGATCGGAGAAACGACAAACAACAAGCGCTACTGAATCGTCAGTGGCAAATTCTTTTAATATGAAAATGTACTTACAGGCTGTGAGTCAGGGAAAGGAAAAATTTAAATCGCATCATATGACCCCTTTAAAATGAATACCTTAGATCAGCGGTTCCCAAACTGGAGTGCGCGCACCACTAGGGGTGCACAGACCGACCAGCAGGGGTGCGCGAGAGAATGCTTTTGATGATCTGTGCATTTTTTGAAGGGGCAAGTGAAAGAGAATTTTACTTGCCCGACCGGACAACTAATCTAATCTAATTAAAACATCGAATTAGGG